TAAGAATTTTTCTACGGGCTTGTACTACTTTGTGTACACAGATTTAATCGACTCATGGCATCCATGAAGTACGATCTTCCGCTGCTGGACCGTGACACAAGGTTTACCCTATGGCAAGTCAAGATGCGGGCATTGTTGGCACAGTCCGACTATGATGAAGCACTGGATAGTTTTGAGAAGAACAAAATTCATGACTGGACTGACGAGGAGAAAAGAATTGATTGTAAGGTTTTGTCACAAATTCAACCCCATTTGCATAATAATATTTGGCAGGAAGTTTTGAGTGAGAAAACTGCCGCCGCTCTATGGTTAAAGCTGGAAGGGATTTGCATGACTAAAGATCTCACTAGCAAGATGCATCTGAAGCAAAAATTATTCCTACACAGGTTACCCGAGGGAGGTAGCATTTTGAATCATATTTCAGAATTTAAAGAGATCATATCCGATCTAGCTGCAATGGAGGTTAAGTATGAAGAGGAAGATATTGCTTTAATGTTACTTTGTTCACTGCCAAGTTCTTTTACCAACTTTAGAGACACCATATTATACAGTCGTGATACTCTCACACTTAATGAAGTTTATGAAGCTTTGAACTCTAAGGAGAAGATGAAATTAATGGTGCCTCATGATGGTTCGAGTTCATCCCAAGCCGAGGGATTATCTGTTCGTGGCAGGACAAAGGAGAAGAACTCATATAATGGAAACAGAGGCAAAAGTAAGAACGGCTACAGGGACCGGTCGCAATCCAGAGACAAGTATTGCAGGTATTGCAAGAGAGACGGGCATGACATCTCTGAGTGTTTCAAGTTGCAGAATAAGGAAAAGAGGAAAGGTAACAAACAAGGTGAAAATTCCGCTAACGTTGCTCGTGATGATAGTTCTGATGATGCTCTTGTTGTTATTGCTGGATGTGCTGAGACCAATGATGAGTGGGTACTTGACACTGCATGCACTTTTCATATGTGTCCACATAGAGATTGGTTTAACACTTTTGATTCCACTACTTCTGTTGGTTCCATTTTGGGTTTTGATAATTCACCATGCAAGATTGAAGGCATAGGTTCTATTCAAATCAAAATGTTTGATGGCATAATCAGAACTTTGACAGATGTTCGGTATATTCCGAAGATGAAGAGAAATCTTATTTCTATGAGTGCCCTTGATGCAAAGGGATACAAGTATTCAGGTGGAGATAGTGTTTTGAAGGTCACCAAAGGCTCCCTTGTTGTGATGAAAGGTGACTTAAGTTCGACCAATGGTCTTTATTACCTTCGAGGTTCTACTGTTTCAGGTAACGCTACTCCAGTTGTTTCAAAGAATTCTGATTGTGATGCTGCTAACCTTTGGCATATGCATCTTGGACATATGAGTGAACTTGGTTTAGCAGAGTTAAATAAGAGAGGTCTTCTTGATGGATATGAACCTGGTAAATTGAAATTTTGTGAGCATTGTATCTTCGGCAAGAACAAGAGGGTGAAGTTCAACACTTCGACTCATACAACTGAAGGTATTCTTGATTATGTGCAATCTGATTTATGGGGACCATCTCGCAAGAAGTCACTAGGTGGTGCTAGTTACATGCTGACTATTATTGATGATTATTCGAGAAAAGTTTGGCCTTATTTCTTGAATCATAAATATGAAGCATTCTCAGCTTTTAAGGAGTGGAAAATTATGGTTGAAAGACAAACTGAAAGGAAGGTAAAAATACTTCGCACTGATAATGGTATGGAATTCTGTTCTAAGCAATTTAAAAATTATTGCAAGTCTGAAGGCATTGTCAGACACTACACCGTTCCTTATACTCAACAAAACGGTGTTGCTGAGCGTATGAACAGGACCATTATTTTCAGAGCCCGTTGCATGTTGTCCAATGCAGATTTGCATAGGCGTTTTTGGACTGAGGCCGCTTCCACTGCTTGTTATCTCATTAATCGTTCACCATCTATTGCTCTTAATAAGAAAACTCCAATTGAGGTATGGTCTGGTTCACCTGCTGATTATTCACAGTTGAGAGTTTTTGGTTGCAGTGCTTATGCTCATGTTGATAATGGAAAATTGGAGCCTAGGGCTGTTAAGTGCATCTTTCTTGGTTATAAGTCTGGTGTTAAAGGTTTTAAATTGTGGAATCCTAAAACCCAGAAGGTTGTTATTAGCAGAAATGTTATCTTTAATGAAACTGCTATGTTATATGATGTTTCATCTACTAATGCTCCTGTTGAGAGTGAACAGCAGCCTACTATTCAGCAGCCTACTGTTCAGGTGGAGCATGTTATTGATTCAGGTGATACATCTGGTAATGAAATTGTTGATGCACATGATGAACCCGTCGTTGATGATGAACATGTCACTCCTACTCCAAATCAGCCTATTGTTCCACCCAGTTGGAATCTTGCACGTGACAGAGTTAGGCGGGGTACTAATAAACTTGACAGGTTAATTGAAGAGTGCAATATTGTTTCTTTTGCTTTATCTGTTGCCGAAAAAATTGAAGGTAATTCTGAGCCTTCTTCATATTCCGAGGCTATTATTTCTGGTTATAGTAATAAGTGGAGGACCGCTATGCATGATGAGATGGAATCACTTGAAAAGAATGGCACTTGGGATTTAGTAAAATTACCTAGAGAGAAGAAACCTATTCGTTGCAAGTGGGTTTTCAAGAGGAAAGAAGGTGTTTCTCCTAATGATGAGACAAGATATAAAGCAAGGTTAGTTGCTAAAGGTTATAGCCAGATTCCAGGTATTGACTATAACGAAGTCTTTTCTCCTGTTGTGAAGCATAGCTATATTCGCACTTTACTCAGTATTGTTGCCATGCATAATCTTAAGCTTGAACAAGTGGATGTTAAAACTGCATTCTTACATGGAGAATTAGAAGAGGATATTTATATGGAACAACATGAAGGTTTTGTTATTCCTGGAAAAGAAAAGCTTGTCTGCAAGTTAAAGAAATCTCTTTATGGATTGAAGCAATCCCCTAGACAGTGGTACAAGAGATTTGACACATTTATGCTCTCTCAAGGTTTCAAAAGGTCTAATTATAATAGTTGTGTTTATTTGAAAACTGTCAATGGTTCAACTATTTACTTGCTGCTTTATGTTGATGATATGCTTATTGCTGCAAAGAGTATGTCCGAGATTAATGAACTAAAGAAGCAATTGAGTAATGAATTTGAGATGAAGGATTTGGGTGCAGCAAAGAAAATTCTTGGCATGGAAATATCCAGAGATAGACCGTCTGGAAAAGTATATCTAAGTCAGAAGGGATATATTGATAAAGTTCTTCGTCGTTTTAATATGCATAATGCCAAGCCGGTGAGTACACCGTTAGCTGCACACTTCAAATTATCATCAGGTTTATGTCCTAAGTCAGATGCAGATATTGAGTACATGTCTAGAGTTCCCTATTCGAGTGCAGTTGGTTCACTTATGTATGCCATGGTTTGTTCTCGTCCGGATTTATCATATGCATTGAGTGTTATCAGTAGATACATGGCTAATCCTGGAAAAGAGCATTGGAAAGCAGTTCAGTGGATTTTCAGATACCTGCGTGGTACTTCTAATGCTTATTTACAGTTTGGGAAAACTAGAGATGGACTTGTTGGTTTTGTTGATTCTGATTTTGCTGGTGATTTGGATAAGAGAAGATCGCTCACAGGTTATGTTTTCACCATTGGTGGTTGTGCTGTGAGTTGGAGAGCAACTTTGTTGTCTATTGTGGCTTGTTCCACTACTGATGCCGAGTATATGGCTATTTCCGAGGCATGCAAAGAAGCTATCTGGTTGAGAGGTTTATACACTGAGCTTTGTGGAGATTCATCTTGCCCTACCATATTTTCCAACAGTCAAAGTGCCATATATCTTACAAAGAATCCAATGTATCATGAGAGGATAAAGCACATTGATGTCAGATTTCATTATATTCGAGATGTTGTTCCTGAAGGCAATTTGAAGGTATGCAAGATAAGTACTCATGATAATCCTGCTGATATGATGACAAAGCCAGTTCCGACCAATAAGTTTGTGCTTTGCTCAGGCTTAATTGGTATTTCTCACTAGTCCTATGGACTTTGACGCACAAGGTGTTTATGCTAATTTGGATGGAGTTATTCGCTTTCTTCGACTACTGGAGGGAATTTGGATCAAGGTGGAGATTGTTAAATTATGATCTAAATTCTAGTACCGTATTAGACTAGACGTAGTACATACGGTGTGGGCCTTTGCATTGGTATCAACACGTACAAGTATAACTCGTTTACTTGTCCTCCAAGGACTCTCATGTATTGCCCTCTTATATACCCCATGTAGTCGCACCTCAGACGGTCTGTCGTCTCGTGCTTGTAATACTCCTTCATCATAGTGATTGCGCCTTTGTGCGTCCGTGGTTTCTCCCGCAAGGATTTCCACGTAAAAATCCGTGTCTCTCTGTCTCGTTTATTTCTCGTTATTATCTAACATATTGGAAGGATGACCATTTCTTCTGTGATGCTCTCGGATAAAATAGACAATATTTTCTGTTTTTCCTTGGTCCTTCCGATGATTACTTGTTCCACATCTGATGATGTTTCCCTGTCAGCAAGTTGCTGCACAGTACGGTTAGAGTTATCTGTTGGCATCAAATTGCAATGTCTGTGTTCATTATTGTTTAGTTCAGCTACCATCATCTCCAACATATTAGACTCGCTCTTGAGACCAATTGTTGGACACGGGAACACATCTGCCATCTGCAACCAGTTTTTATGTGTAAGTGCATGGAGAAGACCAATAGAATTATCATGATCATGAACTCACAGTCTCGTAAATTCTCTGGGATGATTAAGCTACATGTGTTTAAGCTAGGTTATTGACTGATCTTTCAGTTAGATTGCTCTTCACAAAACGTGCAAACCGGCCGAGGAAAAAGATGTAATACCAGATGTTGGAATAAAAGTTCAACATATATACTAGAATGGCAAAATCCAACACATTGAAACAACAAACATATGAACACACCACCTTCACTAAGACAATACCGTTACACGAACAAGGCCATAGTCCTGAAAGAGGGTGACGTGATGACATGATTGAAGCAGAAACAATGTGCGTGCCATGATTCTAACGCTAGGTTGATGCTTACGGAGCAGCATCATGCAGCCAGTGCTCTCCACCACCACCTCTTCCCCTCCGGCGGCGCCCCGAGGACACTCATCTCCTCCACTAGCTCGTTTCTCCTCCACCACTCTACTGCACCAGCCACTGAGCAACACCTCTCTGCCTCTCCTCTCTCCCACCACCGTTTCTGGAAGCCACAGCTGCAGCCTCCAGCAGCTGTTGGTGTTCTCCCTTGGATCGGGAAAACAAAATGACTGGGAAATGAGGAGCTGCAAAATCTACAAATGCTAGCTAGTCCATGTACACAAACAACTGTCTTCTGCCAATCGTAAATTAGATGCTCTGTTGCTTTCATTTTGTTTGCGTTAAGTACGCAGATCATACCTGTCTCTTGGGCATATGAGTTTCTGTCTTTCTCAGAATATCCAGAACTTCTGCTATATTAGGTCGATTGTTTCTGTCAGGTTCAACACAACGCATTGCTGTGTCGATGCATATCTGCACTTGATGTGATTCCTCTAATGGGTACTCCGAAGGAGCCTTTATCCTATTCTTCCAATTGCCAAGCACCTATGAAACAGGTAGAGAGATATAATTTGGGATGAAAAATACGAAAGTACGATATACGATACTTGTTCAAAAGTATTCTTGACACACAAATTTCATGGTCAATACATTGTATGCAGGAGATAAGTTTTTCTGTGTATATACATTCTAAGTCAAAAGTTGTGGCATGTGCTCTGATATATACCGAAAAAGGCTTTCGCCCCGCTTTATATATAAAGCAAACCACCGAGCCACAACATCCCACAATGGTTCACGGCGCACGCACACACACACACACACACACACACACACACACACACACATAAAGGTAGCACAAACACGCAGGTTCAAAGGGGGTTATGCTGAGGGCACAGCTCAACAAGCCCTAAAGAAAACTCAAAGGATGAAGCAAAGGCCACCACGTGGCTAATCCGACTCTGGAGGTGCTCTGATATATACATCATATTATTGTTCAAAGGTGTCGCATACCACTTCCCAGATAACTAACGTAGATAGATAATATAAGATGTCTAATTAGGAGAGCAAAGTATTTTTTTTTACCATGTACTTGCTCCAAAATGCAGATGAAAACGCTCTTCGCAATCAAAAGGAACTTGAAATAAAAGAGATGTACTATATGTATATCTGCTTATCACCTCTCTCATGAAGCAAGGTTCTACGTGCGCATTTCTTTCTATTTTTAGAATCTCCACATATGCATTTTTGGCACTTCACAAGTAGTATACAAAATTAATCATACTCTAGATTTTTCTTCTAGCAAGCAGATTAATTAAATGAATAATTTGACTACTGGTTGTTTATGTTGATGACTAACAGTGCCATGTAGGTTCCTTATACATATAGTGGATATCCAATGCTGGTAGTTATTGGACTGGTGGAGCTCACTTTTTTTTCTTTCCGAAAATACAGAAGGAAAGAAGCTTATATATTAGGTTTAAAAAAATTATAGCTCAACTAAGCTATCAACTCCTTACTTGGACGACCATAATGCATAAAGTACAGACATCAAAAATATCCATGTGGTGCTTTGTTATATGAACTAGTGTCAAACTGAAAATGTTTTACCTTTTGCGTAAATTGCCCGACTTCGTCTGTTTCTATATAACCGGAGTAACCTGAAGACCCTTTAATTATCTCTATCATCACAAGACCTAAACTGAAGACATCATTCTTATGGGCGATATAGGCGTCTTTTATGAATTCTGGTGGCATATACGCCCTGCATGATATCAAAGGACACGGTCAGCATAAATATTGTTTATTTGATCACAAAAGGGAGAAGACTGGAAAATGAGGATTTCCGTGAGGCACTTACTCGGTTCCTACAACTCTGTTTGTGACATGAGTGTGTGATCCACCGAAGAGCCTTGACAAACCAAAATCCGCCAGTTTAGGCGCCATGGAACTGTCTAGTAATATATTGGCAGGCTTCAGGTCAAGATGAAAGATTGGTGGTTCACAGCTGTGAAGGAAATTTAATCCTTCACAAATCCCCTTTATAATCTTGTAACGCGTGCTCCAATCAGGTGCAAAAGATTCTTCTACACAAGTTGATAAAGAGAACATTATAAAGAAGAGAATTTAAGAATTTGGTTTTGCTTAAACACAAAAGAACATGAACGTATTGAATTTAAGTTCCATCATACCACAAAGATGCTTGTCTAGGCTTCCACCCTGCAAGTACTCGAAGAAGAGGACTCTATATACGTGTCGGGTAAAATGATTTGCACCATTGTGTTCAATTAGTTCATTCTGTATTTCATAACAATAACCAAGTAACTGTACAATATTTGGATGCTTAACCCTCAAAAGGTTACCAACTTCATTGATATATTGTCTGTCATCATGTCCTAGCACCGTATCAACATGAAGCAACTTCACAGCAATCTCTCTCCCACTGTAAACTCCCTGCTTGACATAAGCATTGTACAAAATTATTTTTTATTTTATTTTTCGAAAAGGGGGGACTCCCCGGCCTCTGCATCAGAACGATGCATACGGCCACAATTATATAAATAAAAAGGATGTTCAACAAGGTCTGAAAGTCTGAAAACAAATAAATGGCTAGCTCACCAAGAGTCACAACGCCAAAAACAAAAGGCCCAAAAGCCACAACCGGCTGGCAAAATAAAGATAAAGATAGGTAAACTAATCGCCTATCCTATTACACAATTATTTGTTTATAACTGGTTCATTTGATGTTAGCTCTAGTATATTGATTGAAAGAAAAAATGCCAAGTAATAAGGTCTACCTTGTAAACGTCTCCATACCCACCCCTTCCAATCCTTGAGTGCTCTGAGAATCCATTTGTAATCTCACGTAAGATATGTAATGGTATACGCTTTTCTGCAGTCATGTTATATCAGCTAGCTTGGACCTTCTGTAGATATACAAAAGGAAAGTGTAAAAAAAATATGTATGTTTAAATACAAGAAAAAAAATCTAACGATGGCAAAGAAGGCAAAATCATTGTGAGAAGAAATAGTTTAACATGGCATGGTCCTTGCGTTATCTGACCATCGGTGGCATATGTAATATCAAGTAGTGGGGGAACCAACCTGAAACCTCAACCAGGAACCATCGCCATCCAAGTCCTTCCACACCGGCTCCTCCCCTCTCCTCTCCGGCAGGGCTAGGCTAGCCGCCGGCGACGAGCTAGGTGAGGGTCTCACAACCGGGGCTGGATAGCAGTAGATCCAGTAGGCTTCCTGCTTAGGGCCTCCTGTATATGGATCTGAACTCCCTGAGCTAGCCTGTACAATGCGAAATCCAGTTCTTATCTACTCTTATATTGTACGGGATTGCCATAGAAACTTGCTTCTAAAGAAAATTGGCTTACATATCATGTCTCCGTAAATGCCATAAATCGAAACGACATGAAACCCAAAGAAGGCAGGCAGCGGCGACTCTGATGTAGCAATAGCAGCAGATGAATCTATTTTCTATGGATTTCCAAATGCTAATGGAGATTCGGAAGTACAAAAGTTGCATTTAGGACTGAGGAGACCAGAAATGAGAGGGGCATAAAGAAATCGCTAACCTGCTGCGTGAGTGGAGATCGATGGAGCTCTATACAGCAGCAGATGCCCCAGCCGCGGCGTCGCCAGCGCCTTGAGACGCGCTTTGCCCTCGCCTTCTTCCCCTTCCCCCCGCGCCCGACGCGGCCTCCACCACAATCTCTCTTCACTCCTCAGCTATGCCGCACCATGGCCAGGGACAGGAAATTTGCGCGGTGTGGTTCTTTTCTTTTTCTTTTTGCTTGACGGGAAGCGGACGAGTCCACTGTGCACTACTAGTTCCTGGGTTCACATGAGACGTGGGCCAACGTCTCGTCACGTCTTCTCCTTGTCTCACAAAGCACAGCACGAGTCTGCTTTAAGGGCGTGCTCGCGTTCCTTCTCAAAACTTCCCGACGCCTGCGCACCGCGCCCGCTATGACCGTGGCACCGCCAACATCGGGCTCCGCTGCGGATCCAGATGCTAGTCATGCAGCAGCGTCACATCTGGGTACGACAGCGGCTACCTGTACTGCCAGTGTCATCGCGCCTGGTGCACGGGGATGTTCAGACGCTGCCTCACAGGGCGGGCAAGCTCCGGCGACGGCGGAGGACGAGCTACCGACGGGGTCTTCCCCTTGTTCTTGCCACATCCGATGAAGAAACCCATGGCGCATGCTAGGGTTCGCTTGTCGCCGACGAGGGAGCTAGACGTGGACGGGCAGTGGAAGTGGATGAGCCCCCCCCTCCCCGCGTAGCTTCCAGTCGCTGATGCGTGGGCCTGTGGTAGGTGGTCGCATTAAATACGACTGCGTGCGGGGATTGGCCTACTGACATGTGGGGCCGCGGCGGACACCGAGCGGACGCGTGACGCGTCTGCTTCGTGTTTGGGCTTGAAATGCGTCGACACGGACATGAAGCGGACACATTTTGGGTTTGGGCTGGCGTTTTTTGTCCGCGGGGACCCAAACGGACATGGGCGGACGAAATAGGTCGCCCCGTTGGAGTTGCTCTGCACTCCATTGATATGTCTTCATGCTATTATATTATCAATTTTGGATGCTTTATATGCATTTTTTACTATTTTATATTATTTTTGGACTAACCTATTAACCCAGTGCCGAGTGCTAGTTGTTGTTTTCTGCTTGTTTTTTGTTTTCCAAAAAATCAGTACCAAATGGAGTCCAAAGGCTACGAATTTTTTTGACAATTTTTTACTGGACGTAAGAGACCCTAGAAGTTTCAGGAGGAGACCAGAGGATGTACGAGGAGACGACAAGGCAACCCGGCGCGCCCTGGGGGCACGTCCTATTGCCTTATGGGCCCCTCAAGGCTCCGTCTGACCTAATTCCACTTCTGTAAATTCAAATATTGGGAAACAAATAGAGAGCCACTCGGAACATTTTTCGCTGCCGCAAGTCTCTGTTCTTCCATGATCCCATCTGGAGGCCTTTTTTGGTACTCTGTCGAAGGGGGAATTGATCATAGAGGGCTTCTACATCAGCCTTGCTGCCTTTCGATGATGCGTGAGTAGTTTACCACAGACCTATGAGTCCATAGCTAGTAGTTAGATGACCTCTCTCTCTCTCTCTCTCTCTCTCTCTCTGACCTTCAATATAATGTTCTCCTCAATGTTGTTGGAGTTCTATCTAACGTAATCTTCTTTTCCGATGTGTTTGTATGGATCTGATGAATTATGGGTTTATGATTTGAATATTCATGAGAAGTAATTGAGTCTTTTTTGAACTTTATTATGCATGATTATTATAGTTTTGTACTTCTCTCCAATCGATCTGTTTAATTTGGCCAACTAGATTAATTTATCTTCAATGGGATAAATGCTTTGTAATGGGTTCAATATTGCGGTGCTCTATCCCAATGGCAGAAAGGGATAAGACATGTATTTGTATTGTTGTCATTAAGGATAAAATGATGGGGCTTATTCATATTAGTTGAGTTTACTTTGTCTACATCATGTCATTTCGCTTAAGGCGTTACTTTGTTTTTATTAACTTAATACCCTAGATGCATGCTGGATAGTCGTCGATGGGTGGAGTAACAGTAGCAGATACAAGCAGGAGTCGGTCTACTTGTCTCGGACGTGATGCCTATTGCTACTTGTGATCTGTGTTGGGATTTCCCTGAGGAGGAAAGGATGATGCAGTATAGTAGAGATAAGTATTTCCCTCAGTTAAGAACCAAGGTTATCAATCCAGTAGGAGATCCAAGCAATGACTCGTTAGTAGAACTCGCAAACAAACAACAAATCTTTGCAACCCAACGCGAAAAAGGGATTGTCAATCCCTTGACGGTGCCGAGCAAGATTAATTGTATAGTTTTTGATAGATAGATCGGACAAAAATACAGAATAAAATAAATAAATAAATAACGCAACAATGTATTTTTGGTTTTAATATATGATAGAAGATAGACTCGGGGACCATAGTTATCACTAGAGTCTTCTCTGTTAAAAATAGTATACGGTGGGTAAACAAATTACTGTTGGGGAATTGATGGAAAAGCAAATAATTATGACGATATCCAAGGCAATGATCATATATAGGCATCACGTTCAAGACTGTAGCCCGAAACAATTCTACATCTACTACTATTACTCCACACATCGACCGCTATCCAGTATGCATTTAGTGTATTAAGTTCATGGAAAAACAGAATAACGCCTTAAGCAAGATAACATGATGTAGACATGATAAACTCACGTATAAATAAACCCAAACTTTTTACCCCTAATAGCAACGATAGATACGTATTATGTCCCCTTTTTTCACTGGGATTGAGCACCGTAAGATCGAACCCATTACAAAGCACCCCTTCCCATTGCAAGATAAATCAATCTAGTTAGCCAAACCAAACCAATAAATCAGAGAAGAAATACGAGGCTATAGTAATCATGCATAAAAGAGTTCAGAGAAAACTCAAATAATATTCATAGATAAATTTGATCATAAACTCACAATTCATCGGATCCCAACAAACACACCGCAAAAAGTCATTACATCGAATAGATCTCCAAGAACATCAAGGAGAACATTATATTGAAGATCAAATAGAGATAAGAAGTCATCTAGCTACTAACTATGGACCCGTAGGTCCATGGTAAAATACTCACGCATCATCGAAACGGTGGCAAGGTTGATGTAGAGCCCCTCTGTGATCGATTTCCTGTCCGGCAGAGTACCGAAGAAGGCCTCCAGATGGGATCTCGTGGTTCTGGAACTTGCGGCTGCGGAAAAAGTATTTCGGGTGTCTCTCTGATGTCAGGGGAATATTTGAGTATTTTTAGATGTGGAATTAGGGTTGGATGTGCCACGAGGTGCCCACAAGCTTGCGGCCACCCCTCTGTTATTTAAATAGTAGTTAGTTAGTCACCGACACTAGGGGCCCACCCCTCTAATCAGTATGTTAGATTAGTTTAACCCACTGATTAAGCCAGAGAGGCTGACAGGTGGGCCCCACCTGTTAGTTTGACCAGTCAGTAGGTCAGCCTAATGCTGACGCATTGCTGACGTCATGCTGACGTCATATTCCATTTCTGTTAATAATAATAATTCCAGAAAAGGCTTTAATCTTTGAAAATTCGTAGAAAATAAACCGTAACTCGGATGAAAATGTTTTCTACATGAAAGTTGCTCAGAACGACGAGACGAATCCGAATATGCGGTCCGTTTACCTGCCAGATGCCTCTAACTATCTGAACATGGAACTTTCCCCTCCGGTCATCTGTTTGACACAGGTCCGGAACCGGGAAAACATTCCCGATTGACTTCCCCCTTCACCGGTATCGTGTAGCACCACGTTAGAACACGTCTAGCTCTGCATGTTGTCCTGTTATGCACTTGCTTGCTATGTATTTATTGTTTCTTCCCCCTCTTCTCTCCGGTAGACCCCGAGACTGATGCTGCCCCTGTGATCGAATACGTCGATGACGACACTTCTTCCTTTTCAGCAGAGCTTCTAGGCAAGCCCCCCCTTTGATCATCCCAATATCGCCCATTCCATTCTCTCATGCTTGCATTAGATTTTGCTACTATTATTGTTTGCTCCTATTCTGATGCATAGCCTGCTTTTGTAACCTGCTCTTTGTTACCTACCTGCTTATCCTAAACTGCTTAGTATAGGTTGGTTAGTGTTCCATCAGTGACCCCCACCTTGTCCTTGTTGCCCCTGCTTCATCATCGAAGACCCGATCAATGGGATCGAAGACCAGGCCCCGACACCGCACATCACTTTCCCCTTAGTTGCTCGACACTACTGGGTTACTATCGAGTGCCGGGAGTGAGACCTCATTAGCACTTCTGATGTTACCCTGTAGTGTAGCTATTCGGTCGTGGTCATCGAG